CCCCAAAAGGTTTCCCTGATCCAATCTCAGCCTAAAAGAAAGACGAACTCTAGAATATTGTGCAATGATATCTCTCTTTTGTGCCAATTCTTAAAGATCGAATCTTTTTCGTCCAGCATAGGAAATATCCATTTACGAAGAAACATCGATTTCCATATCGGATTACAATATTTATGGGGCTGTCCATTCAAGGGCGCTTCATGTCAGTGGAGCGACAGATTTCGACTATTCTTTTGTTACAAATTATTCCGATTTTTTGCATTTAAGACTATATTATAATACGTATCAAAACTAATAAAATTCAAGAATAAATTATATATACAATTTATTTAAATACAACATCAACCAATGGATTACACTAGGCAACAAAATTTAAATTTTTTCTGATAGATTGGTTCTTTAAAAATATAATAATTTTTTTTTAATTTTTAAAGTCTGGCTTCTTTGACTTTTTTAGGGGTTATACTTCTACCACTTATCTTAAGTATCTTACCCCTGGTTTTATTTATAATTCTTCAATTCTAAAAAGCTGATAAATGCAGCTCTAAATCGGATCCAAACACTTAGCAGCTTAGGTTTAGCGCTGAGAAATATAAAGCTTTCAAAACCCAAATTGATCATTTTTTGCGGTAATATTCTGCTAAATTTTGGCTGTGAAAACTCGGGAAAAGCCGAAACGAATTTTGTCGTAAAATGTTGTATATTTTTTGTATAGGTACATAAATTAAGCGTCTTTTGAGTTATCGTTCGTAAAAATCTATGGATAAACAGCTAAGATATATCCGTTTGACCAAACCTTTTATTGCCGCATTTTACCCAAAAAAAAAAGAAATTTACACAAAATCTATAAACAAAACTCGGTTTAGTGCACAACGGAAATCTGGTGCTGTATAGTGTTATCAAATCTATTGAGAACCGTATAATATATCATGCTATGAACCCCCCAAAAAGCTCCAGTCATGCCACTTTGGGTCACTTTCCAACAACCAGTATGGGCATGGTCTTAGATCATATGAGAGTACGAGTATAATCAACTGCTGGCATAAGTTCATAACACATACTCAGGATCTGCAGTGTTTGGCCATCGTTCACAGCCTACGTTCCATCATTAAGTCGAACAGACAATTTGTCAAATGAAACAAGAAAATTTGCATAAAAAACTAACAAACAACTAACATTAGACACACGGCAACAACAGAGCAGAGAAAATTTGCATGTCTGACCGACTGAATGTTGGCCAACGATTCCGTGGCAGCTACAACAAACAGGCAAGACAAGCTGCTACCAGCAGCGGCAGCAAATAACAATTTTCCACACACAAAACTGGCCGCGAGAAGGGGCACCTCGTGGACGTGGGGTCTCCGAAAGGGGTCTCTCTCTCTCTCTCTCTCTCGCTGGACGGTGGCCGTGGCTGTGTCTGTGGTAACACAGAAGCAGTGGACGAAGTGCAATTACCAAAAGCGCGCCACAGACCCAAGCCAGGCCAGGCCAAGCCACCAGATATCAAAGGAGATCGCCACAAGAGGCAAAGCAGTAACCAGTAACCAGTAATGGTGCTTGTTGTAGCTTTTTGTTGTTTCTTTTGTTGTAAATTTTCGTTGCTTTCTTGCTGTTGTTGTTGTTGTTGTGGCCAAACAACATGTGCGTTTGTGTCCGCAACGATTAAGTAAAAACAATTTACACGCCTGCCTGCCAAGAAGACCAGCCGCAGAAGGACGTCCACGAAAAGAGCCAGGGACAGAGGGACAGGCACGGGGAGAAAATGAAATGCTAGAGATGAACTTGTTGGTGATACTTGTGTCCACGGGAAGGAGTTTGATCTGGTAAAGGCTACAGAGTCTGCGAAAGATCAGGGGATATAATAAATGTCCTCTAAGAACCTCATCCGGAATCCGCTTAGATTTAATATTACACGTTACTCGGGACAAGCCCCATGCGTACTCGCTACACTCGAGCGATAACCCTCGGCTCACTCGCCTCTCTCGCTCACTCCGTTATGAGTAAAATATCAGGCGAAGAGCTTTTTGGTGCTTGCAAAGCCAAGCTTAGGAGTCTCTTTTAAAAGCTTTAGAGCCACAAGCCCATACAGAGATAGAACAGATATAACAAAGAAATCTTTTCGTAACTTATATCTACAATCCATTATATCCAGGAGGTCCAATAGCTCCTTCGTGATTCCAAAAACTCCGCCTTCGTTGGTCCATCTCTAAGGCAAGCCGGTCCTTGTCTCTAAAACCATGGCGTTAATATGCGTCGCTCTGGCTTAGCTTGTTGGCCAAGTTACTACGTTTCACCTTGCTGTTGTTGTTGTTGTTGCTGTTGTTGTCTGCATGTTAGTGCTTCCTTTTTGGCATCGGCAACATGTCAATTATATCGTATCAAATTAATAATTGTACACGTCGCGCCGCATTGCACGTCTTCGCCCCATTCACCAAATGAAGTTGGGTTTTTAAAGGAGAGAGCCTTGGTGGATGCCTCCGCCGATGCCTGGCCTGTGCTCGGATGCCTGCCTAGTGTTTGCCTGTTTTGGAGCTGCCTCTTTGGAGCGGTGTGCCTTGTGCCTTGTTGGCCTGCTGGCCTGCTGGCTGCTTGCCACTAATCGTGGCAGACAGGCATGCTGAACGGCCCCGCAAATGTAATATATTTTAAGTTACCTGTCAATTTTGGATGCTGTTAAGCGTTGCTAACACGCCATGTTTGCCGGCCGAGTATTCGATATCAAACTGAAATGTGTGGTGTACCCTCGTATGAACATACCATACGTATACTTATGTGCGTGAATGTGTTTGTTAAATAAGTGGCAGGAGTGTGAAATTAAACTAGATGTGTGTGTTGATCATTGAAATGTTTGTTGATTTCGGTTTAAATGCCAATTTTATGGCTCACTTAATGGCTGGGAAAAATCACGAATGGTTGAAATAAAAAAACTAACCTGAATAACAGACTAGGCTCTTAAATGTTCCAATGGTAGTTTTACCATTCAAATATTTAAATCACAGAAATTCGCCACGCACCTGATCAGCTGTGAAAGCATTTGCCATCAATTGGCAGTTCCTAAAAATAAAAGAGACATGTGAAATGGGAAATGTAGAAATTTAGAAAATGTAGAACAGAAACAGCTAATACAACAACAAAAATCGAGGCCTTTTATCAATCAAAAGGAAAATGTATAAACTAATTATATGTTATTAGAGCTCTTACGTCTGTAGAAAGCTTAGCTTTCGGGTTTCACTTATAAAATTATTGATAAATATTGCTATTTGGGCGGATTTTATGGAAATCACACCCTACCATGGTGAGGGCTGTTTGGCCTCAAAGATATTATTTAAAAATGGCAAGAAATATGTTAGGACTTAGAAATGATCTATCATCTAGACTCTTGATTCCACAGGCCGACTAGGCCTGAGGAAAAATAAACAGACATAACCCCAAAGCTGCTCGACTTGAGTTTCGCTGAAAATAATTTGTTTTTTTTTTAATTGAAAGCAATGAAACATGCAAATGCAAAGGTTCATAGATTATCTGAAGATAATTTGTGAGGGGAGGGGCGAACAAACGGAGATGGCTTAAATATGGAAAGCGTCGGAGCGTCTTTTCGCCTACGCAATACAAACATTTCCCAAAACCAGCCATACATACCTGCCAGGGCAACGAACACAGAAAACAATCTGCATAGCGCAGCCTCCAGATTTCCCCCGCACTTAGTACATCTATTTACGCATTTATCACACTTTTAATTTAATATTTTCAACAGAACCGCACGCACACACTTTTTTTGTTCTACTTTTTGTTGTCTTGCAGCATTCCGTTTTTTGGGGGGCTGCCAATTGATCCTAAAAAGCGTTCACAGCTGATCGGGTGCGTGGTGAATTTCTGTGATTTGAAATTTCAAATTGAATTTAGTTGTTTCGCAGACGCACAACCAAATAATGCAATTAATCAACGAATTTAGTGGCATTATTGAATCACAGCAAGCCAGACAGACGCAAAAAACTGGTTTAAGCCTTTTAGAGCTGCTGCTGTTGCTGCTTTTGCTGCTGCTGGTGCGATGTCTGCGTCATTTAGTTGTCTGTGGCCAGGGAAAAACAAAATAAACAAAAAAAGTTAAGCTAAAATCAAAACCGAAACGGTAATTATCTTTTGACAGCACTTAAGTTGAATTTGGTAATGACAGTCGGGCTAAAGATCGGGGCAACACACCGATAAAAGCGGCGCTTTAACTTAACTGACAGTTGAGGCTAAAGAGTGGCCGATTAAATTGACAGTCTGTCAGGCGAGTATTTTGCTCTGTGTTGTGTGTTAAAATGCGTGTCCAACGTGCGTGTGTTTGTCTGTGTCTCTCTTGGGGCCTCTCTTGGGGCCTCTCTCCGAGCAAATACTGGTAACACAAGGCACAGATCTTGGTGTTTCTGGAGCATGTCAGAGCCGGAGCCGGAGCCGGAGCCGGCGAACATGACGGAGATTAATACCTTGAATCTTATTTATGGTGGTATGGTGATTCATTGGTTCACTTAAAGTTGGCGGGAAACCCGTTGAATCATCTATTTACCTGTCTAAACGTCTTTAAAGAGTGGTCTTCCCGCAAACTGTCAAAAAAATTGGTTCAAAAACCCGCAATTTTAAATGCGAATGTATATTTTCTGTTAAATATTTCCCTGAATAAATATTTCTTATTGAAATCACGAATAAAATGCAAGTAAATTGTAAAAAACAGCCAGAGTGATCTTTTATCGGCTGATTAATTAATAGTAGTCACTGGCACAGTTTAAACGAATATTTTTCAGTCTTAGCAAATATTTCACCTAAGTATATTCACTCAATTTTCATATTCTAAAATATTGTTGAAAAATTCAAGTATAAATCCTCCATAATTTTAAATTCAAATTTAAATAGCGTGAATTCACCACACTGTTTATCGGCTAGAGCTCATCTCTAGAATTCTGCAATGTTTACCTACCTGATATTATGCCGGTGACTCGAACTAGAAAGGGATGGGGAATCGGTGAAAGGCGCCAAAAGGTTTTGCCGCGAAAAGCGAAAAGGAAAAGACAGACTAAAAGGAAGGCCAGAGAATCGCACCCAAAGCACGCTTTTCACGCATTTAAAATAATCCAAAGCTAAATTAGGAAAATCAGTGTAAGTATTGATCAAGTGAAAGCGCAGATCACCAGCTGATCGGTTAATCGCAGAATTCTCACAGCAGCTGTCTGTGAATTATGGCCTGCAAGCGGCTGATGCTCGATGATGAGGAACAAGATGATGGTTTTAGCTTCGATTTGGAGAATCAGGAGAATATTCCGACCAATAATATGGCGAAACGTCGCAAGGGGCTGCTGGAGACGCCACTGCAGCGCATGCTCAAGCGGCACATTCCCGCCAATTCGGCCACCGCACTGTCGCCGATCACCGAGCTGTCGTACAATATGCGCGGCGCCCGTCTGAATGAGTGCGCCAGTGGCACACCCAAGTCCACCAACACCCTACGAACCTTCAATAGCATCAATAGCATAGCCTCTAGCTACGATTCGGGCAACTCCCTGGACGACGAGTACCTGCACATGTTCGAATTGGACCAGAGAGATGCTGTTGGCCATGATTTGCCTGTGGGTTTGCCCGACGATCTGGAGCAACTGATTACTGGCCAGCTGAAGACGGACCACATCTCGGAGAGCAGCAGCGAACCAAAGGCCCGCTCGGCACGTCGCTGCCTGAGCATGCTGCCCAGTGACCCGGCGGAAGAGGACTCCAATGGTAGCAGCGTGTCTGTGCTTAGCCACAAGACGTCACCCAGCGCCACCCGCATGCTGCTGCGCAAGTCCGTGTCCATGAACGATGCCGACATTCTCACAGCCCTGGGCGACGAGCCCGAATTGATTGGGGATCTGAGCAAACCATGTGCCCTGCCCTGCCTGATCGCTGGTACCCGTCATCGGGACTTGAAGACCATTTCGTGTGATACCCTGGCGCGCCTGATCAATGGGGATTTCGGCGAGCAGCTGGGCAACGACTGCTACCAGATCATCGACTGTCGCTATCCGTACGAGTACGAGGGCGGGCACATACGCGGCGCCCAGAATCTGTACACTCGGGCCCTCATCAAGGAGGCCTTTCCGGCTGCCGCATTGAAGCCTGTGCCAGGACAGCGCTACATCTACATCTTTCACTGTGAGTTCTCGTCGGAGCGTGGACCGAAGCTGTTGCGCTTCCTGCGCAGCAACGATCGCAGCCAGCACACGCACAACTATCCGGCCCTGGACTATCCGGAGCTGTATCTGCTGCACAACGGCTACAAGGAGTTCTTCAATCTCCATGCGAATCTCTGCGAACCCCGCGGCTATGTGCCCATGCTGGCGCCCGCCTACAACGAGGAATTCCGCCACTTTCGGGCCAAGACCAAGTCGTGGCAGTGCGGCGATGGCGACGGCGCTGACAGTGGCATTGGCGGCGGCGGCAGTACCGGATCCCGTACCCTGCGCAAATCACGTTCCCGCTTGCTTTACGCCGAGTAAGCGGCGCCCATCCTCATCCACCTCTCCATAATAATTATTCTAAAACAAAATTAATCGCTAGGATTGAAAGGACGCAAATTTATAGTTTCGTTTCGTTTCGTTGATTTTTGTTCAAATGTTGAGTTTTTCCCTTTAAGATTTAATGTTTATTCGTATTTCGATTTCTAGTTGAGAGTTTTATACATAGAAAAACCCCACACCAACCAAAAAAAAGAAAAGAAATGTTCTCTAGTCAGTGAAAGTGAAAATTTCGAATTGATTTAGTTTATTGTTTGTGTTCGGCATTTTAAAGTTTAGTTGCAAAATATATATTTGTATTTCGTGTTTAATTTTAGTTTTAATCCAATATATTTGTAAATCAAATGTTTTCCCAAAGCCCAAATAAAATATATTTTAAGCATAAAAGGAAATGAAAAAAAACTATTCAAGCAATTGAGTTTCGGGTTCTTAAAACTTATATAAATTCCTGAAAGGGATTTCAATCCAAAAAGCCCGAGGGATTTACCAAAAATTATGGAAAACGATTAAAATACTTGCTAAAAAAAAAAAAAAAAAAAAACTAAAAAAAAAGAAGAAGGAAGGGATCTACTTATATTTCTATCCATATTTAAAAAAAAAAAAAAGAAGAAGATTTGAATGATTGCTGAAATAAAAGCACAAAAATCTGAAATGAGCATTATGGAAGTGTCTATAAAATAGAACGAGAAAACAATATTACTTTAATAAGACTATAGCTTTAATACTTTAATTAAGATCCTTAAGGTCTATAATTTTGGATATTGAGAAAAATCATATTTAAATACTCAAAAATTATTTCAAAATCTATTACTAATAATATTTTTTCGAAAAAATAATTATAGTTTTTTACTAATAAATTAAGAAAGTTAATTTTGAAATTACACAAAAAACTTGGGTAAAAAAAAAAAATAAATTCATATAAAACAAATGTGTAATTTTTTAATATAATAATAAAAATTTGTAGGTTTACGAAAGTTCCATAAAAAATATATATAAAATAAATTATATATAATTTTATACCAAATCTAGAAAATTTGATTTTAAAAATATTTGCTTGAATTCAAAATACAATAATTAATAACAAAAAATAATAATGAACAAAAATAATAATAATGTGTTTATACTGAACCAATAAAAGAATTTAATAAAATTAAATTAAATAAATCCATGAAAACCGAACTTGATAAATAAAAAACTATAACAAATAGTACAAAAGTCTTCTGTCATCAATACCAATTATTTCACAAAGTCAAATAAATAAGTATTCTGGCAAATCTAAATCCCTTTCACAGGCTTGCGATTACAGATGTTCCTATACTATGCTTGTTCATATAGTAGGAAAATCCAACGATCCCCTGGGCCAAAGCCTGTCTCCTACTGATAGCAAAAGCTGGCATTTCACTTCACATGAATCACAGCTCATAGAACCTGATAACCTTCTCAAAACCTGAGAGCTCTGCGCGCACCTTTTGTTATTGACACCAAATAAAAGATCGGAGGGGAGGCTCTTGCCTTATCAGTACCTTCGATGCAAATAAAACAGTCTTACAATGACAATGGAAATGAATTGACTCAATTATCTTGTGGGTTTTTCCATATCCCCCTGCACGCTCCAAGAGACTTTCGACTTGGTTTCAAAGCGAGTAAAGAAAATATATTTTTTTATAAATGTAAAACATCTTTTAATTGCATCATTAATTAATAGATGAAATACAAAAACATTATAATTTCAATGTAAAATCTTCTTTAAATAAATATGAAGGACACTTTTTATATTCGAGGAATTTTCGAAAAACTTTTTGCATACGACTTTAAACTTATTTTCACATTTAAATGAGATTTTCAACGCGCAACGCATCTCATAATAAATATTTTAAATGTTCAAATGTATTTAATTTAATTAGTTGCCAAAATTATTTGTGCGCCACGGACTAACGAAACCATAAACCACAAAATGTATGAAAACCTGCAGGCAACAACGTGGTGGGGGCTTCAATGGAGGAGCTCCTGTCCATCTAGGTATCGGCTGGTGGATTGAAGGGCGCCTTGCAGCCAGCTTTGTTGTAGAACTCCAGGGGTACATCATCATCGTTTTCAAAGAAATCCGAGTCGCGGGACCAGCAGGGACCCAGCTCCAGCTTGACGATCTTCTCCCGCCAAAAGTCGAGCAGCTGTTTGGCCAGGACCTCATCGCGCAGCTTAACAATCCACTCGTTGTAGTCCCAGGGGCCATAGAAGCCGGAATCGGTTTTATACTCCTGCAGCAGATCGGCCGCCTTGTCTTGATCCTCTTGCGAGGGGTTGCCCTCGAACAGAATCTGCCAGATGACATCCTGGGCGGCCTTGGCGATCTTCTTGACGCTGGCCTGCTGAATTTCATCGGGTACAATGACATCGGTCAGCACAAAGCGCGTCATGAGGTCGCGGTATTCGCTGAGCGGCTGATCCCGGGTTATAACAGCATCGAATACACCCGTGAAGGCTGCCTCATCGTCGGCACTGCGCTCTGCAGATCTCTCCTCCCCCTCGGGTGCCTCCCTGGACGACTCTGCATCGGAGGCTTCTGATGCCCGGAGCTCATTGTTGGCTGCTCGCACCTTGAGGCTGGCCGCAAACGGAGCCGTGCATCCAGCGTGGGCGTAAAACTCCACTGGAGGCGTATCGTCACTGTCAAACAGATCACAGTCACGCGACCAGCACGGTCCAAGCTGCTTCTTCACGATTGTGTTTCGCCAAAAGTCAAGGAGTTCCTTCTTCAGCACTTCGTCCCGCAGCGTGATAATCCATTTGTTGTACTCCCATGGATCATAGAATGTGGCATCACCTTTGTATTCCTCTAGCAGTTCGGAAGCCTTCTGCTGTGACTCAGAGATGACGCCGCCGTCGCCATCAGTTCCGGTAAATAGCAGCTGCCAAATGACGCCACGCGCCGCCGCTGCAATGCCTTCGAAATTATTCTTGATGACTTCATCGTCGACAATTTCATCAACTTGCACCTTCGTTTCGATCAGCTTCTGATAATCTTTCAGTGGCTCTGCCAGGCCAATGTTAAAATTGTTCTACAAAAAAAACCGAAAAATATAAAGCCCCAAATCTTTTGTTTGCAAAAAGTGTATTTTTTTCGTACCTTGGGGCTGATTTTCTCTTGACCTGATGCCATTTCGATGTTTGTATCCTCGGCTTTACGTTTGGACATTCCCACTAAGCTGTATTGTGAATAATATATTTATATTTCCAATTCGCGGAAATTTTTGCGTCTTGAACAATGGACAGTGTGACCGCGGACTACCGGCCGACCCTCAGAAATATACCGAAACATACCGTCTCATTTAAAAAACATACCGTAAGTGTACTGAGAAATTCAAGTTATATTTTAAATATTCCTCGTTTTTAATTTTCCGTGGAATATTACTAGCTTTATAGAACATTTAGCCATGCCCACATAATTTTATCCGATTAGTGAATCTATTTTCTAATTGACTAGTTTATTTTAAACACTTGCTTTTATTGCATTTTGACTAAAACAAGGTTTAAAAAAAATAGTTCAACAAAAAAAACAGTCGCAATGTTGCTGGTAATTTAAGACATAATGATCGAAACTTGTATACCCAATTTCTTAAATTTTATATGAAGATAAAAAGTAATTTATAAAGACCTTTTCTCAAATCGATATGTTTTAGACATATTCATGTATATTATTAGTATCTTGTATATATTTATCTCGATCTTACTTACGGAGCTTGGGATGTCAAACATTTTCTGAATTCTATAACATCCTTTTCCCTAGGTTATGAAAATTACTTTTGCCGGGAATCATTGTTGTCAACCGGTTATTCACCAGTAAATACTTGTTTTTGATCTTCCATCGAATATTCCCAGCTATATAGATCTTTCAGCTTTGCCCAGATAATTTTATATGATTGCTAAATAAATAGTGTTCAAGATTAACTACTTTTAAGTACTCGCAGGTATTTTATTTTGACCAAAACACGGTTTCAACAACAATGTTTAACAAAAAAATCAGCCGCAGTGTTATGACGTCAATGTTGGTGATTTTTTCAGACTCATTTCTTGTCAACCAGGGGCATTTTTATACCCTATTTCGTTAATATTATATAGAGATACTGTTTTCAAAGTTGCTTTCAAACGTAATTTATCTTGTCTTAGATTGAATTTTAGAGGCCAATTCATTACAGCCTGGGATGACAAATATTTTCTCAGTTCTATAACATCCATTTCCGCCACGGTAGGGTATGTGAGCATGGAATTATGGAATGGGACTCATTTGTTGTGCAGCGGGTGTTGCCAAATTTATCTTTCGTCGGATATTTCAAGCTATATATCGCTCAGCTTTGCCCACTTAATTTTATCCCATTAAAGAATACATTTTCAACAATATTAACTACTTTTAAGTACTTTCATGTATTGTATTTTGACTAAAACAAGTTAATGTTGCCCGCAACACTGCGTATGGTACAATTTGAATTCACCGCGGACTTCCATACCTCAAGACATAATTTTATTAAATTGATAGAATAGATCAATTTTCTGCAGGATATGCTAATTTTAACTAATTACTTTTTCTACAAGATTAACTACTTTTAAGCACTTCTTAAGCACTATAAAAACCCAATACCAATATGAATGAAATATGAATAAATCTTTACCAGTTTGGTCAGTTTTTGGAATACCCTTATTCCAGCTATCGACTGTGAACAGAATTCAACCGATAGTACGTACTATCGATTCTCGGTGACCGTTTACGGTATATAATAACTTTTCTGTATATTTTGACGCCGAAATTAAGTATATCAGTATATAATAATATTTTCCATCAATATCATCAAGTTATTAAATTTTATTTTTAAAGAATTATTAAAAAACGCAGAGTATAGAAACATTCATTCGCAGATTTGTTACATTTTCGATCTTGAATTTGTCAGTATATTTACGGTATATTTTTCAAATCAGACGGTATATTTTTGTATATTTCTGAGGGTCGGACGGTATATTTTATCGATAAGTCGATAAGTCGATAGCCGCTATCAGCAACAGCAACTCTAGTTAGTCTTCAATTAAAAATCCTTCGAAATCTATATTAATTGTGTAATACCAGTGCTTGACCTAGCCAGAAAATCGAATTGGTTGTCGTTTTAGCCTTCAGTGATTTCACACCAACAACGTCTGTTGCTCCAATTGATATTCGCCTCGCGCTGTGTCTCGCCCATCTGTGCGTGAGTGTGTGTGTGTACGTCCGTGTGCCACCAAAGAAATTTGAGGTTAAGCCCTTTTTGACCACGGCAGCAGCTGAATACTGTGTTAATGTCGCCCAACAGCAATCAATTGC